TCTATGGTTCTTTCTTTTTCCTTGGGTGTCTAGAGAGAGAGAGGATGGCTGTAGGTAAGCTGGCAGGGATGAGAAAACAGACCAACTGTACAAATAGATGGCAGCATGTCAGTTAGAAAGAGAGAGATGGCTCATTCAAAGCTTGGTGTGGAAGAGAAGCACCCCCTACCCTTATAAACAAAGCCATCATAATTTACTCTTTGTAAAGTAGTAGCAGTACTACTAGCAACAGTGCTGCTGTGCTACACCTACAAATTCAAGCATACCATAAAGCTTAAAATAAACTCCATAAACCATTGAATGATCTGACTCACATTTGTGGATTTTCTCAAAAAATGCTGTTTACAGTCGCCTAGCCTTGCTACCTGGTGATAAATCATTTTCCTTCGGTTCAAACTTGCTGCTATGTATCCATTGGATAAAGAATAAAATAACAAGCTATAAACAATATACAAATATTAAACAGTACCAGTGTACAGGCAAACTGGGGCCCACAGGACATTGAGGGTATGCAAGGCTGGGCAGGTGAGACTTATACAATATTTTTTTACTCCCTACTTTATTTTCTCCTTACTACATCTAATCTTTGTGTACTAAAGTAAAGCAAGCAGTAAATTACTCTTAATAGTACACTAGTCTGCTGTTAACTTTGATTAGGTGTTGTTAGCTTACGCTAAGGTTTTGGAAATATTAGAGAGAGGAGAGAGAAGGGAAGGGATAGAGAGAGAAAGGGGGGCAGTTGCAGTGGTTAACAACCCTCTGCCAGAGCGCAAGAAGGAATCATTTCACCTCAGTGGCAGGTAACAAACACCACTTCTCTTGCTCCCGTCTTGCCCTTTTGCTTCCGCCTCCTGCCCTTAAAATCTTTCACCACCCCCTCCCGTCGCGGTCAAATTTGCGATCCATACTTGGGGAGGGCCAAGAAACCGAGCTCTCCCTCCGATGCCCACCAACGTCAGGTAATTCTGCAAAAAAGGAAAGGAAAAAAAAGATCATGTTCTTGGATTACTTCAAGGTGTTCGTCTCCGCTTGCAGGTGAAATTGGTGGCCGGCCTCTTTGAAGTTGAAGGGTTCATGTGATTCAGCGGTGGGGTAATTTTCAGGTAGTTATTATCTTGGCACCTGTTCCTTTCAAGATCTTTACACCACCTCATTACACGATGGAGTAGTCAAAGGTCGTTGCTTTCGTCCCCCCTGCTCTCGGAAAGCTTTCAGCACTGCCTTAGTTATTTCTTGCAGATCCTACTCCTGCCATCTACGCATTCAAATAGCCTCACGCGCTCACCAGTTCAGCTTGCCTTCTTGCCCCCTTCCTTCTGTGAGCTTTGGTGATGCGAAAGTATTTCTCCAAGCTTTCATTTCACATTTGCTGTTCCTTCCAAGATTATGAAAAAATTATGAAGTGATCGAGAGTCCTCTTTGGAGGCAGCTTCATGTTTTCCGTGCGCTCCTGTAGTCCTGTGATTTTACTTATCCAAGTAGGTCCCTTAGTTTAAATTCCCGGCAGCATTACTAGAGCTCTTTTAGCTTCTTATTAGGGGCAACTGCCTAGCCATATCCTAAAGGAGATCACACTTCTTGGTTGGTTCCAAACTTATTTGCGTGTTCTTCATCTGGTGAAACATGACCCTTTTCTTTCAAGCTCCATGGTACTAGTGTGGTACATGCCTGGTTCTTGAAGATTTGGTAGCTTTTCCTGTTCCCAATTAGCTTTGGTGTTTTTAGTCTTTTAGGAAGAGCCGGCTCTCCTCCCATCTCATTCACTTTGCTCCAAAAGACTCAGTCAGCGAGTGTTGTTTGCTTAATGATGGGGTTATTTCTCCTGTGCCTCCTCCTCCTTTATGCCCTGGGTTTAAAGTTTCACTTTCTGGACTGTGTGCTTCTTTAGACTGTTGCAGATTTGGTTTGTTCCCAAAGGCTATGGATGAAGCATGTCTTCTCCAGCTGTAATGCAGTTCCAGCAGGCCTTTGCCTGGGCGGTGGATAGTTCTTTTGCCCGTCTTTTTATCTGTAGTTTGGGATAGCGTGGTTATTCTTGAAGGGACTAGTTGCTTTTCAACTTTGTTAGGGTTAGCAGTTGAGGTGGTACTGTTTTCCCTCAACCTCAAACAAACAAACCAGTTGATCAATATTTACTCTTCTGTACTATGCGCTATTTGAATTTGTGTCCTTTTGGGGGCAATGTAGTTGTAGTTTCATTCATAGTGTTTACCTTCTATTTATCTCGAATAGGTGATTGAGGAACGTTGGTGTTTCTGGACAATTGGAGATGTACTCAGGCCAGCAATCTGATCAAGGTCCTAGTGCAAATAGTGGCAGAGAATTCTCCGAGGCAAATTGGAATTTTTTCACAATGCATCAAAAGATGGCTTATGGTGGACAGTATGGGTTTGGATCTTACGACATGGGCTTAGAAGATAGACCAGGGTTGTATCAATCTTCATCTGGTTAGTTTTTTTTATCATGTTGCTAGGTAGATCTTTCTGAAGGCGACAATTCTGCAGTTAATAGAAACAATACTTATTCCCGCAGGTACATTGAGTCAGGACATCCAAATGAGTGATGAGCATAGCGGAGGTGTAAAGAAGAGGAAAGGAATGGAGGACCATGTCACGTTGTTGCATGTAAGATTTCTTGTTGAGCTCACTTCCTCATCTAATCTAGATGTGTAAAATTATATGTTGATGGTTTCTTATGGTAATGACCGACTGTCCTGTAATGGTTGGCTATAGAATGCAGGCGATCAACAAACAGAAAGTTCATCTCAGCCAGAAAGGAATTCAATGGAAGAGGGGAACAGAAAGATTTCGCCCCAAATGCAAAGCAAGGAAGATTCTTCTGATGGTGATGGTACTAAAGAGGACTATGTTCATGTCCGGGCAAAGCGAGGCCAAGCCACTAACAGCCACAGCCTTGCAGAAAGAGTAAATTTCGCTCTTGTAGTAAGTAGCTACCAGTTCAGTTTGCTTTATTATCTTTACTCACATTTGAAGTTAATGAAACTCTGCAGCTGAGGAGAAAGAAGATAAGTGAGAGGATGAAGCTTCTTCAAGATCTTGTTCCTGGATGCAATAAGGTAACCTCTCCTTTGTTTGGTGTGAGCAACTTCTCAAAGACTCCTGTAGTCCACACATTACAAATTTCTTTCGAACAGATCACTGGCAAGGCAGTCATGCTCGATGAGATTATCAACTATGTGCAGTCATTGCAACGACAAGTCGAGGTAGTATTAGTGCATCTGTAGTTGAATTGTTTTGGAATATGTGTGGCATCTTGTTAGTATATAATCCAGTATACTAATACAATTTTGAACTTGCAGTTCTTGTCAATGAAACTTGCAACTGTTAACCCCGAGCTTGGCTTTGACATTGAGCAGATCATATCCAAACAAGTAAATCCACCCACTAGATCGTCATATCTCCCTCTAGGTGTTATTTTAGATATGCTTTGATGAATGTAAATTGTTGTTTGCAGATGATGCTTTCACAAGACAGACATCTTGCTTTCTATGGAGTCGATCCAGGATCAAGCAGCCTTACTGCTCCATTCAACCAAGGAATCATGCAGCCAGAAATGATGTGCAACATTTCCAATCCTGTCGATGTTTTGCACGGAACTATTCACGACGTGTCAACAATGAACCAGGTAACTCCAGTTTATTTCATGACATGCGGGTTCACATATATTATCTGATTGAAGAGGTGATGGGCTTCTGTGAACCTTGAATCCAGATACCTTCTATGTGGGAAGGACTTCAGATTATGCCTCAGATGAACTTCAGCCCTGGTCTGGCAGCTGATAGCGGCACCAACAACTATGGTATCTATATGATCCTCTCTGTTCTCTTCTCTTTAAAATGCAAATGTTCCTAGTAATCCATCCATCTTACAGAAATGTTCCTTCTGTGCTCTACAGGCTCCATGAAGATCGAACAGTGAGCTGCTGTCTAGTAGCTCCGAAATTGTTCTTGAATCACTGAATCATCGTAATGCTCTTGCGGGATGAAAGTTTTTTTGTATAGCTGGAGGCCTAACCATTCATGCCGGTTTCCTTCTGTTGTTCCCATAATGTACGGCACATTGTTTATGGTATGGCATATGAAGGATCATGTACAGCTGGAGCTGAAAAACTGATTCCACTGTAAATTTCTGTTGTGCTTTGGCCTGTGGAAATTGGGATGGAAACCTAGTATCATCCATGAAATCCAAGGACAGAAGCTTGTTGGGACTTGGGACCAGGTGCTGAATATTGATGGACCTAAACGTACTAAATGAGCACTAACAGAATGGAATCGTAGGTACAAAAATGCAGAGTTTGAAGCCAGTGGCTTTGTCAGAAATTCCATGGAACATGCAATGTAACGCAACAGGTTTCATCATGCAATGGAAGGAAACTCATTATCGTTAATACCTCTTTTTTTTCAAACGTATTTAGTAGAAATAGTAGGATATTGCTATATTTATGTTATCATCCAAACAGTAAAACCGTTCCGAAATCAATTAGTGCGAGAGCCACTAATTAGCGTGCTATAAGTTGCACGGTAGAAACATAACATGATCTACAGAATCAATTTCTATCTCTCACTGTGTAAATTTAAGATAAGCTTATATTTGAATTTTGGAAAGTTGTAAAATGCCAACTCTAAGTCAAACAGCATAATTGCTTTAAAATGAAAGGATCCAAACAGCCTCTTAAATTTATATACGATAAAGTTTCCTTTGACAAGTCGTAATAATTGTCATGATCGTTGAACAATCTCGAGGCCTTGGCATAACTAATATGCCGCAGGGATGAAACTACTCAAATATATCATCTCAACGTCAATTTTTGCATTTTGAACTGTAACTGTTACAAAATCACATGTTTACATTAAAATGAAATACATGCTTATAACTCATTGCGACTGAGCAAAGTCCAGAGTACAGCAGGACGAGCTTCACCACCTCATTTCTAGCAAAGTTCCAATATAGTATAGACTATAGAGGGATCAATCGTGAAATTCAGTCAAGGAGGCCTGGGTTCAACCAATCCCTGCAAAACATATTTTTTTATTATAGGAAACGTCAGCAAAACTTCACGCACACAAAAAAGAAACTGCGTGAAAGTCAGGTATGTTATGGTTCACTTATTTACGTGTTAATGTCCCGTTTTTTTGTCTTTTGCATGTGACAACACAACTGAAGTAATGATGCTATAATACTCGTCTCATTTTCCCACTAATTTTCTCCAAGTTTCTTATGGTAACCTCACTCTTTGATGCCAATTTGTATCGCACATATGGAAATATTGGACTCATGTATTCAAAGTAAAAGTTCAAATGATGGTTAAAAGCTAGATAGACATGCAATTTGTAGTCTCATGCCCATTATACGAGTCGTCAGCCTATGCTGCTCGATCACAAATGCTGCAAAAGGATATGTGGACAATACATACCCTCCGGTGGCTAGAAATGACTATAAACTGCTTGGCCAAAAGTGCTGTCCATGTCCATCAAATGGTTGCAAACCATTACACATGACAGCGAATGGAATTTTATTCAGTTTTAAATGTAATACAACCCCCCACCCCCCATCCCCACCCCAAAGATTCTCCTAGATGTTATCCAATATTTTCTCTCTTTTTCATTTTTTGGGCATAATCTCCAAGTGCTGTTGAGGAAACATTTTACTTACTTGCTAATATCATCAAGGTGGTCGTCGAAATCAACAATTTTGTCCCATTTCTTTGTAGTAACATGATCAGCTAGGACAACATTGGTAGAAGGTTCTTTTAGAACCAGCTGACTGCTTCCATCTGATCCAGCCTGACGCCAACTTTTTGATGAATCCCTGGTGTATAACTGCATATGCCATTAACTATGGGTCATGAACCATGCAAAATCAAAACAAGCTAACTATAGTATTTCTACAAGAACATTCGATCAATGTGAACCAGCTTTGTAAGTAACTAAGTATTGACCTCTCTAGCTATTTTTCATAAGTAATTTAGGGCCTGGTCATGCGGCTGATCGTGTAAGAATACTCGATGATATGAAGCCAAGGATATTCTATCACGTTATGTCTTGAACGACCTTTTTTAGTACTGGTTAACTATGAAACACTAACAAACTTCAGGCCAGAAATCATGCATTATCAAGGTAGAGTACAAACATTTATACAGAACATTCATAATGTCATCGACGAAATATGCAGAACTTAAAAATGAAGAAAAAAATGGTCTTGCTATTTTCACATGGTAATGATACAAACTAGAATTGATAATTACACTAATCTTTGATATACTTTGCTGCTAACTCAGGCATATCAGGATAAACACTTTGTGCTTCATATGAATATCACCTTCCAGAATAATTCATCAAGTCAAGATACAAAATTAGTGCATTTGCGTATTTTGTTCACATACAGCTCAAAATCAAAGCTTAACAAATTAGAGTGACCATATAAAGCTGAATCCAGAACACTTCTTGATCATATAGTGCATATATATTGCTCAAGAATTGCTTCTTAAGTCATGTCATACAACAATTAAGTGACACTGAAAATCTTTAAGGATATGCAAATGAAAATTATTTTAGTTTGTCTTCTAGAAGTTTCTTGCCTTTTAAAGCCTGGTTCTAGCTTCATCCAATATTACATAGGTATGTAAGATCTCATAGCATAACAGCCAAAAATATATTTGCTTTAACTGTTGATTATATGCACTAGACAAGATAGTGTTTTCAGCCATGGAACAATATTTTCCTCTCACAACATTTCAGCATAAGCATCAGCATAAGCCAAATTTCAGCATAAGCGAGCAGGGTGAGTATTTTTCATGTTATCAAAGGGAATATATTGCATCTTGGAAGTTAATTGTGTGAGTTAAGTGGATGTACAACCATTCTTTGCCCTCGATTTTCTTCTATGTTGTTTGTTGACATGCCAGCAGTGGGGTGACATGGTGAAAATGAAGCAAGTGGCCGCTGTGTGGTGAATTCATTGCGAAATTGAACAAATGATGAACTGGTGGCTAGGTGAAATTCCCATATCACTGTTAATATAAATACCTACCATAGAACACCATGATATACACGCCATAAATCACCGCCCAGTAGTAGTAGGCATATACAAGACAGATTCTAGGCTCAATAACAGATTACTTAGAGATCTAGAGTGACAATCTATTATATTACACACCAATATTCCCAGCAATAAAAAATCTGTCTGCATGTACAGTCTACAATTTTACATGGCTCACCAAAATGCCTGTTGAGGCTGACTAGATGGCATGTAAACACTACAAGGCAGTCAGCCGTTTATGCCTAAACGACCAATTTGTTTGATTAAATGGCTGTTTAGCTCAACTAATGAGCGATGTAGCCCACTTTTCATCTAAACAATGGGTGACAACTTTTACTTTATACAGTTCAGTGCAGTTTTTACAGCCATCTGTTCAATGTCATGTGGTTTAAGTATAAATGTTCTCTAAACACAATAGTCCTTTGCTTTAATATGAACAAGAACATTTAACATTTATATCTCTTATTTCAAAATGATGATCTTTTCAAACTTGCATAAATCAAGCTTACTACAAGTCTCCATGGAAGGTTTCCAAACTTTTTGGACCCTCCTGAGTCTGAACCACACAACCTTGATGCCATACCAGTTCAAAGGAAAAATGTTCAGCTATCGCATAATGAACCTGTTGGTAACCATAAAATTAGGGCACGTCTACTTTGCAACCTGATATCCTTAAAATTCTTGTGCATCATAAGCAAAGGACCAGTAAGGCAGTAAAAACCCTGCTAACTAGACTAAAAAAATTGTTCCTCTCTTGTATCAATACAATATCATGTGGTTTCACTACAACGATTCTGCAACCAACTCTAATATAGTTTCAGTTAAAAAAAACAGATATCAAAATGATAATTTCCCAGCTTTGCTCAAATCAACACTCCTCTATGCAAGTCTCTATTTTTTGGAGGGCTTCCCAAGTTTTAACAACAGCCGTGAAGTTGATTTCAATGGAAAATGGAACAGGCCTGTGGCCCATCCGTCTAAAATAAAATAACAAATTATAGTTTCGCTACCCCTTGCAAACTCACTGTGAATTCTAACATCTCGATAAACATAGAACACTATTAATATCGGGGTACTGTGTCTGTCTTATAGAACTGCTAATCTCCTGGTGCCAATTAGAAAGTCTTGAAGGTATATTTGAGAAAGATTTGGAAACGTACCTGAACCACCGGGTCGCGAGACTTCCCCTTGACGGCCTCCTCCAGCTTCTTGTTATCGACCTAATCAATCAATAAAAGAAAGATGAGATCTGCATCCCCCTCCTAAGCCGCGCAGATCGGAGATCAAAAGAACGAAAGAAACGTAGCTCACCAACAACACGGCGGAGCGGGGGAAGTATCGGAAGATATGGTCCCCGACGCGCTTGGCAACTGGCGGGAGGTCGGTGTCGTCGCAACGCGGGTTGGCGTGGTAGTATCCGACGACGGCGAGGCCTTCGCCCTGGGTTGCGAAGTGGTCCTCGACGAGGGTGAGCCCGAGCTCGAGCGTGGGGAGCAGCGGAAGGTGGTGCGGGTGGTGAGACAGCGGCACGGCGTCGATTACCGAGACGACGGCCGGTGAGGACGAAGGCTCGACGAGGCGGCCGACGAGGAGGCCGTTGACGGAGGTCGCCGGGTGCTTCAGTGCGTGCAGCGCCAGCTTGACGTACGCCGCCTGCGCCAGCTCGTACCGGCACTCCGCGCCCATCTCCGCCGCCGCTGATTCCGATCGAAGGATGATTTTTGGCGGGCGCCGGACGGGGTCTGGGGATGGCGACTGGCGAGGGCGAGCGTCTGGTCGCGCGTCGTAGGAGCAGAGGAGCTGGACTGCTGGAGCGGCCGAGCGGTGCCGCCTCCCAGGCTGCCTGGCCTGGGCTAGGACGCTGGGCGTCTGTTGGGCCGTTGCAAACGGCCGCGGACCAGTCTCAGGCGCCAGGCCCAGCTACTTTGTACGCGGCATCACCTGGGCCAGGCCCATGGGGAACGGGCGAGTTTACTGTGAATATTCTAGCTGGGGGGAATTTACCTTTTTAGCCTTAACTATCCCCCGATTTGGTGAATGGAATTTCAACGTAATTGGTGCTTCCTAACAGGATAGCAGAGGGAGCGAGTACACTTAGAAATTAAAGAGTTGCCGTCAGTCAATGAAAAATATACCCCTTAGCTACGAGTGTCACCGATACAACAGTTTGTCATGTGGCTTAAAACAAGGAGCCTACAAAATTGAGCGAGTTTGATAGCAAACTCCTTGCAAAATCAACTTTCCGCCTTCTTACTCTTCTTTCTTCTGTCTGGTTCTCCCTCTCTCTCTTTCCTCCGTCTCCTTCGTTTGCCCTGCCAGCAAACAAGAAAAAATCAGAACATGAAAGGATTGCGTTGGAGCATCATTCAACAGATAGAATAAATGACCAGATCCAGATGCACTATCAAGATTATTTTAGCTCTATATATGTTTCTCTAGTCGCTTATAGGTTTGTGGCAAGTTTGAGCAACTGTCAACTCTGGCATCAGTATCTCATGATCAAAGAACAGCCACGAAACTAAACTTTCAGGGCAGTTTAGGAAAGCACAACATGCTTGGTGTCAATAAATGTCATTAAAGTTCAATCTGAAATTTTGAAGCGCACCTCAGCAGAGAAAGTCTTAAGAGGGTCTCTGCTTTTCCCTGATCCTCCCCTGAACCCCTGTCTTTTCCGCCTTTGGGGCTTGTCGATGCCCATAGCAGCCCTGGAAAGTTTGACAACATTGCTGGCTTCTTTTGTTTTCGGATCAATTAGGTAGTCAGGGACATCACGCAGGTGTGCAGGAATTTCCTTGTTGCTTAGCAACTTATCGTGCTTGAGCAAATCTGGAAAGGAAAAAAAGAAACATCCAGCATGATTGCTTAGACAGGTTACATACAAACACAACTATTCTGCACAAAACTTGTAAATCTTACCAAGGTCCCTTGGATTCTCTTCAAAATGGGACTTCAGTCTACAAGGTAAAAAAGGCATCACTATTAGGAAAAAATATTATAGGTGCAGAAATTGCTTGAAATGAAAATGATCTTTTCTTTCATGAAAAAATGTACAATTTCATATATTGGATGTTCTCGGTTTCCCAGCAAGAAAGCACAGTTTATTACTATCTAGCACTGGCAACAAGTAGAGTTTTTTTTTTCCTTTTCTTTTTCCGAGAAGAGCCAGTAGGTTGTTTTCAAGATATCAAGATATTAAACTATCATTATGCAATTTGCATTCTACCAACAATTTAGCTGCTTTAGTTGCAACAAGGATCTTACTTCTCAGAATTGAGGATTTCATTCTTTATGTCTTGGCGACGCGCTTCCTGTATATCACGTGTTGTCACACTCCTTGCAACATCCTGTAAGAGTAGTGCCAGTTAACAATAGCCATCCAAATCAGTACGGCTGCTTTAGTACAAAAAAATAGCAACCATGCCAGTTGCAAGAATTGTTTAAAAACTTCTGCAAAAATGAACCACATTTGCTAGAAGCTAGCACAAGATCAAGTACAGATTCAAGAAAACATGCTCTGTACCAACTATTCGGAATATCAACCTGATTAGTGATTACTCTAGCTTGCCCAGGAAAAAAGCAACAGTAATTTTTTACCAATCAAATGAACTTCCCTTACCAGGCAAGAAAGGGCCAAGAGCCCAAGACTAACACAAACAGAGACACCTGAGCAAGGTTTCATATTTAATGAACATGACCACATATCCAGGCTCCAGGCTCTCGGTAGTGCAACGAAGGTTTATATACATAGTATCTACTAGACTAATAAATGAATTAAGAATCAACTGAAAATCGCACTGCCAACTGCATTGGACACTATTACCAGATCAGCTTTTAGCCTTCCAGTAACCACACTATTACCAGATCAGCTTTTAGCTTTGATCCTCACCAGGCAACCCATGCCTCACTCAAATACTAGCACATCATCACAAATAATAAGTTCCATACAATCTGTGCCAGCATCAAGTTGCATAGAATGGACAGAAACAGAAATATAGAATTTGCTAAAAAAATCAAATATATAATCCGGAACAGATATATTGCAGACCTGAGCCCTATACCGTAGAGACTCAACAGCATCTTTCGTAAGTAATGGGAAAGGTGAAATGCAGTCCATATCTTTCTTTTCAACATCTTGCAACATATGCTCAATCTCTTTAAAAGTACTATTCTCCTCTGGTGAAACCTAAAGAAGCAATTGCCAAAACATATGGACATAAACATCAGAACAAATAGGAACTTCGCAATATGTCAGTTATTTCTGATGATAAATTTATATGAATAAATAAACAATGTAACATTAAACTTACAAGCGATATGGATGCACCAGTCTTATTCGCTCTACCTGTTCGTCCTATTCTGTGAACATACCCAGCAGCATCCAGAGGCATGTCAAAATTGACTACCTAAAAAAAAAGGTTAAAGATAAAGGTCAATCCTGCTCTTCAAAACTTAAACCATGAAGTCAAAATTTCATTTTCTGAGTGACTATCCAAATTTCGAGCTATTAAGCCATAAACAAAGATGACAAAATCCAAATTTCTTTATAGATCTTTCAAAAGAAAATAATTGATGAACCATACAGCAGACATTCAAACTGAATCCTTCTTTTATTTCAGAGAGAACATAGGACGACAATTTCTCTACATAAAATTCAGCATCTACTGCTCATGATGAGTGATATAACTGTGAGCTCCAAGATAATATAATAAAACTGCCAACAAAACAGAACACATATTGATCCAGCAGTTAACCTAAGAAATGTTCTCAGCTACTGACTTAATCGCAACAAGGTATGTAATGGTGATACAGTGCCTCTGAATCTCTGACCATTGTTAGATCAAATATATTAACTTACTGTAAATACATTTTTGAAGTCGATTCCTCTGACAACTCCAAATTCGGCATCTAAAGTCTGTTGCAAATGTTTGCGGGACACCTTTGGCTCTTTCTGGTTTTCCTTATTGGTTTGCTTCTCCCGTTTGCGGGATATCTTTGGCTCTTTCTTGTTTTCCTTATTGGTTTGCTTCTCCTCCTTTGTTTTAGTGTCATCCGTTGCTATCAGATAATCAAATAACCTCGCATTGAATGCCTAAAAAGAAATACACAAAACAATTTAAATTGTTTATATGGAGCCACCTTGTTAGCACAAGGAAGTAATCTGTGCAAACTTCTAACAAAAGATTCGATATCAAAGTTTCAGATATTGTTTAACTGGTAACCTTCCATATCAATGACTTTTTTCTGTTTCTCAACAATAAGGGTCCAAGACTAAACCAGAGCACAGGAAAGATATTGCTATTCACGTAATAGAGGCATATACTAGCCAATAGTTAGAAACAAATAACAATGGCAGAGTTTTAGAGACAAGTGCCTTCACAAAGCACAGGTACATAATTAACAAGCAATCTAAGGAGCTGAAGGGAACCCAACTCAGGGGCCATGCAACGACCAAGTTGTTTGCTTCATTTATCCATTTATTAAGTTCTTTATAGTTACAAATAATTTGATAAAAGCCGTGCAAAAATGATACCTCAATAATATGTAGTCGGGAATTTTGTGGCAACTCAGCGTTCAAAACCGCAGATCTTATCCCAAACTGTATAAAGCAGAGCATATTCATCATAGGTTTGTTAATACTACAAATGAAGTGTACACTAAAAATAGAAACGAGATAGAAGCAAGAGCAAAGAACAACATAGTATGTGAACAAAAGCAGTTAAGTGAACAGTAATACTCATAGAAACAATCATAGCATAGGCATAGCATAGGCAAAGTTTGTATAGCATTATCCTAAAATGGCAGTACAAGATATAGCATTATCCATAGGCAGAGTTTGTTTTCTTCCCCCCTTTGGTCTTATTCTTAATATAATGATACACAGCTCTCCTGCATGTTCGAGAGAAAAAGAAAAGATGTAGCGCCGATCCTTCAGTTATTTTTTACAAGACTTGCCTAACCTGGTATTATGGTTATCTGAAGAGACAAATGAACTTAATGACATAGCAAAAGAGTCAACTGTGACATGATTGTATGCTGAACTTTATAACATCAAATACAGAAGGAACAAAGAAAGTGGTTGGCCCCAAAGTAGGTCACAAGGTCAATAATTGCAGCACATAAAGTCCACGTTATGTCAAACAGGAATTCTAAGAATCAATCAATTCAGGATATGTTGAAGTTATTTTTTTCAGGTGTCGAGTAAATTTTTGAAAACGCAGGAGAGCTGTGTTTCATTGTATTATAGAGAAGGTGTCGAGTAAATTAAAATACCTTTTTAAAGATCTAGATGACCAATCACGTTTTTAGGGTAGCGAGTAGTGACACAAGGCAGTGGTATGATTTACCTTTTCCAAGAACAGTCGTAATCTGAATGCCATATCAATTGAGTTCACAAATATAAGAACTTTCTTCTGAATAAGCTCAAACTTTAAAAGTGCAAGGATATGAAGCATTTTATCCTTAGCGTCACATGAGATCTGTGGTCAAAAAATGAATGATATGTAATGAGCAGGACGAAGAAATAGATGTGTAAAAGGCCAAGTAACTTCAGCAAAATGAATACATTTTTTTTTATTTAAAATACATCCATAGCTTACGAATGGCCCGAGATAAGGGACAGACAGGAAAATGTAACCCTATCAAGCATGAGAACTTTTGGTTTTCCAGTAAAAGATTTTTGGAACCTCTAAGTTGCAATGGTAATATGAAAATGAGAACAAGTACATGTATGCCAAAAGAACAGGCAGCAGAAGATACTTACCCAAAACTGCTGAACATTTTTGGGGATCACATCATCCTTTGCTTGACCAACCTCCGAAAGAGTTAGAATAAATGGGTTATGCAGAAGTAGCTTTGTCAATTTGTCAACATCAGAGCTGCCACACAGTCAAATTTCAGTATCCCCAAATAAATGGAACACAAATGCAAGCAAGGGCCCAAGTTTCTAATGTTCTCTCTTACCAAGGGAAAACAATAGCATGGATTCAACCTCCAACACTTACATGTCAGATGCATTTAAACAATTATTAAACTATGAGCAGAGTCCCATCAAGAAAAGCAACAGCACAAACAGGTCTAACAGCAACCACCCACTTAACCAGCATGGTAAAAATTGTAAACAGCAAAAAATTCACAATTTCAAGAGAAAACCATCTGAGCCAAGTAAAATATATTGTGAACAGCAAAAATTGTAAACAGCAAAAAATAATGAAATGCTCAGAGGAATCGTAAATGTAGGGTGCAGAATCAAGATTTAATGGATAGCTGCAGAAAAAGAAGGAACATTGACCAGATTTGACCTTGAAGTTGCAGACATCAGAATGGACTGACAGCTTCGCGGGATATGTGGGATGAGAGCTTTCAAGTCATCTTCACAGCGGTAGGATAGAAGAAGGTCAGCCTGGGAACTAACCATTGGTAGATTAGTAACTTCTTCAAAAGGATCTTGCCTGAACATTATGATTAATACATAAAAGGTGTGGAATCTGATATACATCACTTCAAAGAAGAATGTTATACTCCCTCCCTTAACCTTCTAAGGCATATTTTGATGCAAAAAAGTTTGCAATTTTGACCAACAGTTAGTCAAAATAAATGCATGTTTAGAGTATAAAGTCATATCAATGCATTCATAATTTTGAAGTGTTTTTTAGTAACTGAAAATATATTGTGAAAGAAATTCAAAGGTTAAATATGCTTTTGAAGACTTTACATACCAAAGTACACCCTACAATAATAAACAGAGGACGTATATGGCAATGCAGCTTTAAATAAAATGTCACCAGAAATTTGAAGTAGGATCTCTAGGTCTTTAAAATGGCACAAATCAAAATCATCATATGCACAAATACATGGGAAAAAATTAAACTAACTCAATTAAGAAAAATGGAATAGCAGAAATTACTTTTCATTATTTTATTATATACACTGCGAAAGAGAATATAGAATCACAAATTCAACGCTGGCATTCTTCTTTATATTGCAGGGCCCATGAAATATGTAAACGAAATAAAATGAAAGTAAAAAAAATAAATTATGAACAACAACTGAAGTGCACCTCATCAAGAATCATCATTGAAAGTGACTCTTTAACTGAAGGTCCACGGATAATTCCCTTTGATATGCATGTTGCAACACAAGCTGGAGTTGACACAAGAATATTAGGGGGGCCAGACAATGCAACAGTCTGCAAATAACAGGCAAAAGTAAGTTAGTTACTTGAGCTAATAGACATAACAATAATAACAATACATGGGCACCAAGTGGAGAAAATAAAAATGGAGCGGAATAGAATTGTCTGATTGTCTCACAATGTCCTTATCCGACATGCTCGCGGTAACTTGCACAACCCTCAATTTGCATGTACAGAACTCAAGGAGAGATAATGCCTCGTTATAAACCTATATGAAGGAAGTGATGACAGCAGTGTTAGCTTCCTGTCTAGCAAAGATGAAAACAAGGGGAAGGAAAATTATATCATACCCACATGATATTAATAGCTGGCAAATTAAAATATATCAAAATAGTGGATATAAAAAAAACATGTGTTTGCACTTCACATATCCAAAGGGGAATCTCCATCCATGCACCACTTGAGGTGCATTTTTCACCTATACCACTAAACTAATCAATGACATGGAGTCTGGTTCTACATGTTATTGAAATATGCTGATGATATGAAAAGTACATATCAAGTGGTGGTACAGATGAAAATATTCCATATCCAAATATAATCCAATCAGCTACTACATGCATGTTTCATAGTCCAAGAACTAAATAAACTTTACCAATGGATAATTCATATGAATCCTTATGCATCCAAGTGAGATGCAAAACATAACTACTACAGCTAGCATTGAAACAATTAAACCCAAACTTAGTCATAGAACACTCACAGAAAAGTAAGCTAAGGTTCACTACCTGCTGGCATAATTCTCGAGTAGGAACCAGGATGAAGGCATTTGGTGCAGGTTTTCGGATACGCCCTTCTGAGGACAACTTCAGTAGCTCGTGCAGAAGTGGGAGAAGGTAGGCAAAGGTCTTCCCAGAGCCAGTCTTGGCCTTTGCAACCACATCCTTCCCTTCCTGGAACCACAATGTTCAGTTGTTGACCAGAGGCCCAGATTACAGAAAACAAAAATTGTTGCACAAAAAATAGATATCTATCCTGCTGTACAATATATAGGCCACAGCAGCTTTTGCACCAGATCCTTTTTGTGTTGCACTTGGCTAAAACTAAAGTTAGCATAGGATCATCTTTGATGATGAATACATAGGTCATAGCAGTTTTTGCAGGCAACTGACACTAATCCCGGGAGTTAACCAGAGAATGCAGGCTATTCAAATAATGCTACAGTTTGCAGTATGCCCATGACCATCACACTTGTCAGAATTGAACTTCTTCCAAGGAAAAGGGGCTGAAATTCCATATTTCCTGCGTCATTTCCCACTAGTTTCTTACTACACCCTAATAGCATGGCAATGCTACAGCGATCATTCGCAACCACTACCAGACCCAAGCCTTGAAGCCGATTGGATGGCAGAGGCCGAACGTCTGGAGTAAACACGCACGAAGCAGAAAAGCAGCACACTAAAAGCAGCAGGAAAACCATAAACCACGCACCAGGATGAGCGGGATGGCTTCCCGCTGTATCGGGGTGGCCTTGGCGATACCCTTCTTCCTCAAAGCCCTCTTCAGCTGCTCGTCCAGGCCAAGTTCATCGAAGCTCACCTCCACTTCCTCCTCCTCCTCCTTCCCCTCCTCCCTGCTGCAGGCCACAGCTTCCGGGATCATATCCTTCCCACCAGCGCTGACTGCTTCCTGCCCAGCCTCCTCCGCTGTCTCCATCTCAGTCTCAGGGATGTCTGTTACGTCCCTAGGCCCCAGCCGCCGCCGGCGATGTGAGGGTGCGGGGCGCCGCAAAAATTGGGGTGGCGGCGGTTGATGAGGCAACGCGAGGGCGCACGAGGAGAACTGGAGAAGAAACCCTCTCAACCTCAAATGGGCCGAGTTTTGCAGCTTTCCGATTTTGCCCCTGCATCCAACGGCGGAAACAGCAATACGAATATACTGGGATTGAGGGTTTACGGGGGAACCGTCGACAAATGTGTTCCGCCGAGTCGATGTGAAATACTAGCCGCCGGATTCACTGGCAGTCGCAGTTGCTGGTTGCTCCCCACATTTGTCGACGGTCGCCGGTTCCCCGTGCAACGCGCCGCGCTAACGATGGCCGAGACGGTGGGCTTCGCGAGCGGCGACGCGGCGGCGTGGCGCGCGGCGCTGGCCGCGTACGACCGCCGTCTCGCGGCCTTGGACAAACCCGACCTCGTGGCCGTGGACTCCTTCTACCGCCACGACCTCCCCGCCCTCCTGCGCTGCCGTGACCCGGACCCCTTCCTCGCCAAGCCCGAGCTGGTGCGCCTCCTCCAGTGGAAGCTCTCACGCGGCAAGTGGAGGTCAGTCCGTCTGCCTTTCTTCAACTATATCATGCTGTTGCTAGCTTCTTCCGCGCTCCAACTTTTGGATCCTAGGGCGTGGTCCGGTCCTTGTGTTGCTGAAATTTGTTCACAAGTACGTATGCTACCGATTCGATTAAGATTGGGTTCTTGTTGCCAGACCGAGGCTAATGGATTTCGTCAAGGGCTTGGACGACGCCGTGGTGGAGTCGGCGTCGCGCAAGGCGTTCGCGGCTTTGCCCGACCTCAGAAGGGCCATCACCGAGCTCACCGTGCTCAAGGGAGTCGGACCTGCCACTGCGTCCGCCGTGCTCGCTGCGTATGCACCTGATGGCGCACCGTTCATGTCTGACGAGGTGAGCCGTGTGTATAAAATGTTTTTGTATGTTTCTGCGCGTGGTGACTGCAATGTAGTGCTGTGACCTTGATCGGATCTTGTGTAGGCGATGGTAGCAGCCTTGGGCAATGCAAAGGAGTACACTCTGAAGCAGTACCTTGCATTTGCTGACAAATTGCAGGCAAAAGCGAAGGTATGGCTTCTGCATTTGAGATGGATGGCAAATTGTTAACAATGTTTGCAAAGCTAGCTATTTCTTCTGGTCGTCTGAAGTATTCAGCGCAGCTAAATGTAATCTTACGGTTTTGAATCAGTTGCTCGGGTGGCTGCAGTTTGCAGCTGATTAATGCTTTGTTTATGTTATACTCCATTCCAAGTTATAAGACGTTTTGGCTTTTCCATATATGTATGTCTAGATACATAGTAAAAGCAATGTATATCTAGAAAAGTCAAAACGCCTTATAATTTGGAACTGAGGAAGTAGTGATCATCGTTTAGTTTTGCCAAAGCTAAAAAGTATCATAGTCAATGTACCAAAGTGGAAATTTTTAAGCAGGTTACCTTAAATATAGCTAACTTAGTGCAGATTTTTGTGGAAAAGCTAACTTAGTGCAGAATTTTGTGCAACCCTTTCCGCCTGGACAAATTGGAAGAGCTCATTGTGCTTCTTTAAGGCTTGAAATGTAATTATTAGACTGTTGTAAAACATGGATTTCTACATTAAAGGGCTATTACTAGAAAGGATCCCGATTTACCTGTATGAATAACATCACAGTTCTGCAATTTAACAACCCTTCTGCAAATGCTAGCATTAAACTTGAGGCGTATGCTGGTAAATTTGAAGCGCATGCGCCAAGACACCGGCAATTTTTCACCTGCTTGTCTTTCTATTCCAAGCTCCAGTTGGCACACTAGGGCAATAGTTATAAAGCATTTTACAGTATGTTGAAAGCTTGCAACCTCTGCAGTGCTAACTCTGGCCTGTATAACACAAGTTCAATTAGAGCATCTCCAAGAGTTCCCAAAACTCACTCCTAATCTTGATTTTTTTAGCAAGATTGAACAAAATTGTTCTCCAACAACTCTTTATCTGAACTCTCAATCTTTCCGCACTGGGGAAAATCAATCTAATAGTGTGGAAATATACGTGCGTGTATCAATCGGCCAATATGGAGGTGGAGGTCGCATGGACAAGGTTCCCAATGCAAATATACAAGAGAGAAAGAAAGTATATATAAAATGGTTTGGGTGATTTAGAAATAGACCGGGATTCCTATCTTTTAGGAGTGAGATTTTGGAAACGGTTGGAGAAACCTAACAGATGTGCTCCCAACTTTTTTTAGGCACTTGGAAAACTCATTGATTTACCAATTTTTTTAGTAACTATTGCAGATGCTCTTAGGTTGCAAGTGCCATTTCAAATATAGATTTCAGACTCATAAAAAATCAGGCGAGCATTGAATAAAAAGAACAATTTGTATTTGCATACGCAGTACTTGATTGCTATTTGGCTGATATTTATGTTGATCCTGAAGGAACTGAGCATAGGAGAAGAAAGTTTCACACCCTCAGATGTTGAGAGAGCACTGTGGAGCTCGGCAATTGCGTCCAAGTCACCAGCAAATGGTAACCCAAAGAGTGAATCGAAGATGCATGGCAAGAGGAAAAGATGATTTACACCGCTCTTCTTTACTAAGGCTACAAGGGTTTTACTGACTGCAGGTCTTAGATTCTTAGTTCAACGTTTTAGTTTTTGTAATCTGCGTAATGGAATCCTTTGGTGGAGCAGAATGTGAAATGCGTGCTCTCATTGACCAAAACACCAGCTCTCATTTCCTACATGCGCACCAGTGACCATCACTGCATGAGCTCGGATGCATCATGCGTGTGTATTTCAAGAAGATCAATGCACCAGCTGTTCCCAGAAAAATAATCGGCAAAGAGTTTGATGTGCTGTCATTTCATTTGTTACCAATGCGTCTCATGATCTAGTCCACCTTTTATTATATATTGGATTTGGTGCTGCATATGTTGAGGAAAAAAACAAGGTTCGACCTCAAATTCTACAGAGTGCATACTGCACACAAGTAATCAAGGACGACATTAACTGATCGTTTGAACTTATCAGTCTGGTATTAATTATGGTATAGTGTTTTTCTCCCACAATAAATCAGCAAACAGTACTTTTCAGCCTAGCGAAGCAAACAGGGCCGCATAAAATTCTTGGAAGTGTGAAACATGATCATCAGATGCGCTAGATCATCGTAATGCATTAGAATTTAGAAAATGGTGTATTCCCAACTCCCAAGGTTACGTACTTCCTTTGGTCCTCTAGGCAAATATAGATAAACTGGTCTAGTGGGAGACTGAACAGTGAACATGCAGGAGAAATTCCGGTTGCGGTAAGTGGAGAAACTCCCAAGGTTACGTACTTACGTTGGTCCTCTACGCAAATATATTCAGCCTGGCTTGCTCGTATATGATCGTGGATTATAAGTTAAAATAGTATTTTTCTCTCACATCAAACCAATCAGCAATAAATAATCCATGATCGTTTACGACGAAACGAACAGGCTGATTATTGAACCAGTAGCGGTAAGTGGAGAAACCTTGTTCTAAACTTCTAATATTAATCACACATTCATATCAGTCACATGCAGAGACAAATGATGCAATGGCAGTTAAAATTCAATAAATTTTATAGGGTCAGTCTCAGCCTAGGGTCCAGCCGAAGTGGCATCCAGAAACCACTTAGAAGTGATGTGACAAGGCTAGACCGCAAGCAAACTGCCAAAGATTAACCGCACAAACGCTGTATCATTCCTTCTACAAACCAAGCATGGCTATCTCATTAGTCAGCACACAGGCTGGAATCCAAAGAGACCCTCCTAGATAGAGCGCTACATGTTAGTTGACTTGCTGATCGTCATATTGCTTTTTCCCTCATGCGCTTGTTGATGGAAGTGCAGGAACACCGACTTCAGGACTGCTGCACCATGCCACCATGTTCCACCTGGGTAGCCACCTCTTGCTTTTGAAGACCTGTCCAGTGAGTCAGCAACGAGCATATCATACAGATGATCTCGTTTTGAGATTTTACTCTTTTTCCTTCAAAGCAAACAGAATTTCTATAATATATGTTTTCCTCTTCGTGTATTTGAATTAAATAACACTACAACCTCGACTTAAAAAGGCCTAAGTGGACTGCTAGATGTCAACTTTTAAAATACAATGTATAAAATGATGCAGATCAAATAAATCAACCGTCATATTCTTCTACTAAAACGGCAATAGAACACCTGAATTGAAATTCTAATTTGCGTGGTGTAGGTAGGATGAAAACAGTTACCTCCTCAGGGTCAATAACCCTTGTCACACAACTTCATATGTAATCAAAGTACCGCTTCACTCTTGCCTGACGACAGCAAACCTGATACATCTTCAGCATAGGAATAATATGATAATGGTCAGGCCTGATCACCAGCATTCCTTTATTGCTTAGTAAGTCTACCACTCCCCAACGCAGTTCAAATAAGCAGGGATGCACTGCCCTCAATGAATTCTATTTCAAATTAGCCAGAAAAATCTACTTCATCAGAAGCATCCAAAACGCCAGCATTCCTACTAGACTGACCATGACCAGGCTGCCCCCGACTTCTCTGTTTCTGTCCTCTCCTCTTTGCCTTGGGTTTGTCTTCAAGATCCCTCACCCCACGTCTCTTATACATCTTAAAGCTAACATGTCTCTCCTCCGCCATCTTCCTAACCTTCTCAGTGATCTCAGCAGCAATCTGACGGTTGTACAGCTTCTTCAGCCCCTTCATCAACTTTGCAAATGTGTCAGGCTGTGGCATCAGCCCTGCCTCTAGCATGTCTAAGCAATACAGGCAAGCCTCCTTGACATGTTTCTTCGCATACAATGCATGTATCCAGATAGTCCATGCACTCACATTGAGCTCACAGCCTTTGCTCACAATACGTTCCCAAACATCCTTCGCAAGCTCAAGTTTCTCATCTCTGACCAACGCATTGAGGAGGTCCTTGAGCACCCCATATTGCGGTGCAACAAAGAGCCCCCTCCCAACCATGTCTTTAAAATAACTACATGCCTCAATCAGCAAACCCTGCCCAACAAGGCCACTCACCATGATAGCAAATGTATCGACCCCAGGGCTGAGCCCACCACTTTCCATCTCATTCCACAATGTCATGGCTTGCTTGGTCTCCCCAAGCCTGCAGGCCAACCGAATCACCACATTGTATATCTTGAGGTCTGGTAGACACCGGCACTCCCGCATCCTCTCCATCAGCTCCAAGCACTCCTCAAGCTGCTCCTTCTTCTCGTGTGCAACAAAGAACCCATGGTACACAGCAGCGTCCACCCGCAGGCCATCCCTTGACATAGCGTCCAAGAACTCGTACCCCTGGGATATCTTGCCAGCCTTGCAAAACGTGCCAACCAGGGTGCCATACGTGACAGCATCGGGCGCGCACCCCTTCCTTCGCATTTCCACAAACACCCGCATGGCCTCATCAACTCTGCCCCTCGAGCCAAGCCCCTGAATCAGGGTGGTGTACGACACCGCGTTCGGCGGGCAGCCACGCCGCTCCATCTGCCCCGTCAGCTCGAACGCATCCTCGAATCTCCCGTCCGCGACGAAGCCAGCGAGCAGGGTGTTGAAGGCGACGACGTCAAGGGCGACATCCGCAGCCTTCATGCGAGTGAGCACGTGCTTGGCCTCGTCGAGCTTGCCCTGGCGGCACCATCCGTAGAGCAGGGCCGTGTAGTGGCGGAGCGAAAGCGGGAACCGGGGCTGGAGCTCCTCGACAAGCTGCTCGGCGGTGACGACGTGGCCGGCCTTGGAGAGGGACTCGAGGAGGGAAAGAAAGAGAGCGGGCTGGTCGTGGTCGGGGCGGGCGGAGAGCAGTGAGAGCGCGAACGGCAGGAGGCGCGGTTGCGGGAGGCGGCGCAGGACGGGGCAGAGGAGGGAGGGGCCAAGGAGTTGAGAGGGGAGTGGCGCGAGGAGGGACGGGGACGGCGCGGAGGAGGCGCGGGAGAAGGACTTGGCGAGGAGCGCTAGGGAGGACGGGAGCGGCGAGGGCAGCGACGGGGAGCACCAGTGGAAGAAGTGCAGCGCGAGGGAGGAGGCGGCGCCGCAGCGGCGGAGGACGGCGTCGAGGAGGTGCGGCGAGGAGGCGTCGAGACCCGACGCGGACAGCGCGGCGGCGAGCCTCTGCGGGTCGGAGTGGTGGCGGCGGAGGAGCTGGTACGCGTGCTCCGCGGAGGAGGCTAGGCTAGGATCGTCGGCGGCGGCGGTGGAGAGGCCGCGGCGGAGAGGGGTGGAGAGGAGGCGCCGCATGGTCGCGGACTGGCGGGGTGAGGCTGGCTGTGGCCCGTGGCGCTCGAGATGCAGCGATGCGACATGCACTCAGCGAAAACTGCTGTATAGACAGCAGACAGACAAATTTTCGTATTCGACCTCAAGTGCTTTACGCACAAACGAAATGCTAAAATTTGATTATAAGGTTGTGTGCCTGGGTCATTTTCAGCTGCAAATTGCCCGACTTCTAAGCCTTTTCGCTGGTCAGTTTCTGGGTTTATAAGCCCGATTGGTACTGATTTGTTGTGAGAAGAAAACACTGTACCAAGAGCGAACAGGCTGTATAACCTACTCCGTATGAATTACGCTCTATCCCCCACTTAAGTTCAACGGTGTTGACCTATGGTACCGTATTACTAGATAGCTTGGACCAATGATGCATCAAAATATAAATGAACACAATACAGCAGACGCCGGAAGATATATCAGCCCCGTTCGCTTCGCTGAAAAAACAAGCCGAAACACTTCGGCTGATTTATTGTAAGAGAAAAATAATATTCCGGCTGAAAAAACAAGCTCGGATTATAAGACAAGCGAACAGAGCCAATCTATGCTATGCACTGTTTTTATTTTTCAGATCAGATATCAATTTCCACCAAATGAAATCACCAGACACCAGGTATAGAGCAGTGAATACAATTCCCAGCTTTAAGTTGCAACAAAAGTGCTCGCCCTTGTGATCCTGTCCACTTGTCAAGTTTATGGCATTTATGCACGTGAGCACGTCAAGCTAGTGGCTAAACGAACAAAAACACATCTTTTGAACCTATCCTAGTCTACATCGCACAAGCTCATAAATGGAACTCGTGCTACAGGCCCTCAACAGCAACAGCAGATACCATTTCATCAAGCTGCCGGAAACAGCTGATTACATATACAAGGCAAGTTACAACTGATCCCAGTCTTTCCCACATGATCTGATCACATTGGAAGTTTGCATCAACTTGCACCGCTTTTTCTCTCCAATTTAATTGCTTCGTAAGACTTGACAACCTCCTTGAACTTCTCTTCTGCAGCCTCTGCACCAGTCCAAACATTCGTGGTGTTAGCGAATAATGACTCACACGAAGCAACTACATTGGAATTGGAAGAAACGCAGTGTCCAACTATCCGTGGAGAAAAGAAGATGTTTACCTCTATCATCTTGATTTTGATCAGGATGGACTTCCATTGCTTTTGTTCTAAAAGCATTCTGCAGCAGGTGAAGTCTGAAAGTCAGATAACAAGAGCACAAGACCATAGATCAAGTATGATATACATAACCCTAAATCCTGCCAATTTTTTTGGACCTTCCTACAAACATAACTCACTCTTATGAATCTACCCAGTCTATCTCCCCACAACTCCAATAGGCCCAAGGAATTTCCGATAGAATGGCTATGGAATGAAAATGACTAGATAAAATAGAGTGAGTGCATATTTGGACCATAAACTGTCTCTTGCTTAAGAAGACCAGAGAAGTGTTCATCCTCTTTAGAAAACACAAAATTCTCAGTCATCATCCTCATAATCAGCTCCGTTATAAAACTAAAAAGAAATTAAAACATGGAAGATTTTATTATAGTAAACTCAAAGGAGAGTGAAAAGCAATAGCCTTAAGTCCTTGACAAATATAACCATTCCATGAAGTATTCGTGACATATATAACTCATGAAGCCATGGAAACCCTCACTATCCAAGATACCAATACCAACCAAGTTTAAATGGAAAAAAAATTGCGATAGCTATAGTTTGATATTTGATTTGTACAATGATCAACATGGCTGTTATCATTAATGTTAGGAGAGACAACAAGTTCTCCAGGCATGCGAAAATGAAGGGAACATGGAACAATAGCATGACAGATAAACTGCATTACCTTCACTTCTGCATCTGTATATGGTGTCGCTCGTGATCTACAAAGGAAGAAATATGTTTTATCAGGAAAATAACGGTATGATATTTGGAATTTAGAATGCAGTATATAGATTTCCAAAGTTCAACAAAAGGCAGTGGAATCACAGAAAACAGGGATGACAAAATCATTTTGTCCAATAAAACAATATTCAATACCTTACAATTTCTTCTTTTAAAACAAGAGCAGTAAAATGACAATGAAAATAGCAAAATGGACTTTCAGAAAAAAAAAAGTATGGGAAAATCATTGTGCAACAAGAAAGTGGTTGTCAATACCATACTGCAAAGATAAATAGGGAGTTTGTTGTGCAACAGGGAAATATTGATTTGAGAAATTAAGCACAAAGCAAATCAATTGGCTCAGCTCATAAATATGGAATTAAAGGCCAAGGACTAAATATTAGTCCAAGACAGTCTACCATGTCACAACTAGATCAGAAGATGAGCAGAAATTCACAGCAAGAGGTTTGAATAAAGACCTGTCAAGACCAAGAACTGCATAGTGATGTGACATAGGATAAACCCTAGGTCCTGCCGGTGTGTACGTCCGTCTATTCTTATGTTCTGAGTGAGATGTGTCAGTCTGCCAATACCAATCATCCCGAGGGATGTAATTGTAGCCACCAGGAGGACCATTCTCCCTCCAGTTTTCATAACCTCGTCTAAATTTATTCCTCTCTCTGTTAAAAACGCCTTGCATATGCCTTATTCTTTGCTGAAAATTTTAAGCAGGCAAAAGGTCAGCATACTGAGGGACTAAAAGTGATATCTCAATGCAAGTACAATGAAGATATATGTGGTAGCAATACATGTAATCTCAAATTTCCATCTGTGCATTGAAGATAGTGTACCATACTTGTGTTGATTGTTGAATACAGAAAAAAAAAAGATTATGAATATATGTAAACTCACAACTCTCTCTTGTTCCTCTTCATATTCCAGCTGCATTCGCTGATAATATCTTTTCTTGGCTTCCTCACTGAAAGTTCCACGACTTGAGCTACTACTTGTATACCTCCAAGACGATGTCGTCTGCACTTTATTCAGCTTTTGAAGGAAAGGAGCATATAAGTTTATTTTCAAAGAGTTAATGTTTATATAAGCAAGCATATAGGACAGAAACATATGATCATAAATCAAACAGTTGACTTCGAGTAGCAGAGAGCTATTTAAAACATCATCAACCAATGGGACTCTTGGCATATATTAAGGAGCCTGAAAGACTGTTATAGCAGGGGGGGAAAGGCGGCATTTCCCCCTTCGACTAAGTGGAATTGACAGGGGACAAGGCCTGAAGCGGAGGGTCACCCTACTGGCCTATTGCAGTACAATATCAGGCATAGAAAGGGTGATACATAGAGGGGAAACAACTAGCAATTAACCTGGGAGATCATATTGACCTAGCAACACTTCTATACTGGTTTCCCTAAAAATCTAAGGCTCGAGAGATTTTGGGACTTAAATTCATTAGACTAGATTTTTCTTGTCAGGCTAAAACTTGCCAAATGAGGATCAATAATTTTGTCCTCCTTGGCTAAGGAGGACACACTTAAAGAACAGTATGGGTTTGCATTAAGAAAATTAACAAATTAATAACCCATAGCTAATTATATTACCTGAGTGTAGAACCAGTCCACGCTTTTGCGAACTTGAGTAATCTGGAGTTCCACAGGAACACAGATAAAAGGTCAAATACATGAAATCTTCGCAACAACTAGATAGCGCAAAAAACAAAGGGAGCAAGTACATGTCACAAATATGATAGAAACGCAAAGTTGCCAATAACCTCACATTGCTAACAAATCTTAGAAAGCAATTCCATGCACATGATTAGTAAGCGCTGCCTGATTACAGGATTTCCATACTAGCAAAGTTGTTGTAGGCTTGTGAACGATAAAATTGGATCACTTGATACGCAATTGGCCTGCGCAGAACAAACTGCAACTAAGCAGTAGGTCGACGCGCAAGCTAGACTAACCACGGAAACTAGAGAAGCAGGCAAGACTGCCAGAAGCGTCATGCGGGATACGCATCATCGAGGAAATTCTAACGAACACAAGCGTAACAAGGGGAGGAGAGGGGCGCGCACCGCGAAACTGGCGGTGGTGACGCCGATGAGGCCGAAGATGAGGATTCCCCATGACTTGGACGGCCGCCGCTCCTGCTCCCTCGACGCGCCGGCGCTGTGGCGGTCTGATTTGTCCTCCTGCGGGTGCGGGTGCGGGTGCGGGTGCGGGGCCATCTTCTATGGGGCTCCCCCCAGCTGATTCTTCTTATCTCCCGGTTCGAACTCGACGGCGAGGGGCGCCGGAGACCAAGCTCATGCTTTCCCGATCGAATCCCTTCTCCTTTACAGCCAGCTCCCTCCCCGCGGCGCTGCTGCGTTGGGCGCGGCGACCTCGAGGGGGAGGACGAATTGGAGTTGGATTGGTGGGGGGAGGAACGGCCGGGAAACGGGAGGGGGAGTCGAGTCGCGACTCGCGAGGCCTCAAGCGCGCCGTGTGCCGATGCGTAGCCGCGTAGGGCGAGCGAGTCCGTGTGCGGTGTGCCACACCAAACAAGGAGAAAGCAGGATTCCAGTCGAATACGATCCACTCGAGGACTTAGGTGGTGATTGGATAATCCCCTCCTAAATTTTAGTCGTTTTAGTCGTTGTCTCATTAAATGTTTAACATATGTATGAAATATTAAATATAGATTAATTATGAAATTGATTGCATAGTTTGTGACTAATTTACGATATGTATTTTTTAAGCCTAATTAGTCCATGATTTGATAATGTGGTGCTACAGTAAACACGTGCTAATAACGGATTAATTAGGCTTAAAAAATTCGTCTCGTGAAGTATTGACAAATTATGCAATTTATTTTTTTATTAATATCCAAACACCCCATGCAACATCCTCCTGACACACCTTCTAAATTAAATTTTAGTCAGCGGATTAAAACACCACCTTACTCTTGTCAGCCAAACCGTGATCATCCAAATTGGCCCACCGTTATTACGGAAGGGGTAGTTTAACGATCACGGTGATCATTAATGCCTGAAAATACCAAATCAAATTAAGTTATGGTCAAGAAAT